TGTCCTGACCAAATTAAGAAAAAAAAAAAAACTACTTAATCTAAGCTATTTTCTAGAAAAGCTATATCATTTCATTTATTTATTTTTGGTCAACTTAATACAAAAGGGCTTTTACATACATACCACCAAATTCCTATATATTTACATATCTAACACCTAAACATTAATATTTCTATTTAAAATTTTCATATCACGTTGAGAATACCATAACTTTAACTTGTGAAAAATGAAATTCACACTTCTATGCATGGGTAAGGCGGCTAGTACGTAAAAATTAAAGTTTTGGTGTTAGTAGGATTGTCAAAAAAGCTCATTGCTCGTGAGCTCGTATTCGGCTCGTCAAGTAGCTTGAATTTGAATCGTTCATTAAGTAAGTCGAACACAAACAAATTTTTTAAGCTCAAATTTTTAATGAACCGAACATGAACAACCCTTTGTTCGATCATATTCGGCTCGTCTTATACCATTCAAATTTTTCATATCACGTTGAGAATAGCATAACTTTAACTTGTAAAAAAATGAAATTCACACTTTTATGCATAGGTAAAGCGGCTAGTATGTAAAAATTAAAGTTTTGGTGTTAGTAGGATTGTCAAAAAAAACTCATTGCTCGTGAGCTCGTATTCGGCTCGTCAAGTAGTTTGAATTTGAATCGTTCGTTAAGTGAGCGGAACGCAAACATATTTTTTAAGTTCAAATTTTTAATGAACCGAACATAAACAACCCTTTGTTCGATCATATTCGGCTCGTCTTAGCTCAAAATAATAATAAAAAAAATTATATATTTTATTTGTAGAATAATATATTTTATATATTTATATCGAAATTTAAATCATCATAGCTTGTGTGATCATGTGTTTTTGCATAAAAATGATACAGATTCGAATTCAACACCCTACATATATTTATCTAATTAATTTAACCAAGTTGATTCGAGTCGAACACAAGCTGAGAAAGAACACAAATATTTTTTTCGAGCCGAACACAACCAAACTGTTCACGAGCTATTTTGAACAAAAAACAATTTCGAACGAGCCGAACACGAGCCTAGCCTGAGCCTCACTCAAGTTCGACTCGTTCACACCCCTAGTGTTAGATATCTATATGCGTAGGAATTGACCGGTATATTTGTAAATCTTCCTAATATAAAGCATATTTGGATATTTTCTCATATCACAATTATGATCAAGAGCCAAAAATGTTGGTCCCAATGGGTAGGGAATGCATTCTAAAAATTAAAACATGAAACCACCAAATGTTGGGGTGGACCCACATGCCCACATGATAGATGAAAGGACTAGTTATGGCAAATGAGTCAAAAAAAAAAGGCTAAAGATGCAAATTGCAAATGTCATAGAAAGTTAAGATGTGGAGTATTTGAAAGGTGCATTGACAGCAATGTAGGAGCATACAAATTCCAATAAAAATAAAGATGGCAATAAATAGTGTTATAAGAAGTGCATATCTATTGAACTGTCATCACACCAAAGTAGATGAAGACTGCAACTTTCATTACAATAAATATTACAATGTTAAAAACTAATGAGACATTGAGAGTAAATTGACATGAAACTATCATGTGAATGCACAATTTTCAGAAATGAGGGTGTGGACCACAAAGTTAAAGGGGTGGTCCATGTAAATAAAGCCATTCATTCCATGCATGGTGTTTAATAAGAATGGAGGTTAGGGTTACACATGGAGGGAAGACTGAAAATAGAAAGACATGTTTAGAGAATAAATCACATGTTAAACCTAACGAGTTGATTTGAGGCTGGCTTGAGCTTAGCTTGTTAGCTCATCAAGCTCATCTCACGAGTCATTTATCGAGCCGAGCCCGACCTGGCTCACTTAAACCCCAAGGCTAGATGTAAGTTCTAGAGCTAGAATTGAAGGCTAAGACTGGAAGTGAGATGCTTATGGAACATGCCTAAGTCCATTTGAGCATCATTTAGGTCTAGCTAGGATGTCTCAAGGCCCTTGTGCTAATTGCTAACCCTAAAGAAATACTTGAGGTGAGTCATGCATAAGCTCTAACTAATTATAATTTTCCTCTCTCTCTCTCTCTCTCTCTCTCTCTCTCTCTCTCTCTCTCTCTCTCTCTCTCTCTCTCTCTCTCTCTCTCTCTCTCTCTCTCTCTCTCTCTCTCTCTCTCTCTCTCTCTCTCTCTCTCTCTCTCTCTCTCTCTCTCTCTCTCTCTCTCTCTCTCTCTCTCTCTCTCTCTCTCTCTCTCTCTCTCTTCATTTCTTATATTATTAGGCATAAGAATTCAGTCAAAATATTATAATCAAAATTTGATTAGAATGAGTTTTATAGAAATTTTAAATTTGTTTTGGGATGAATGCTAGGCCCATATAATAAACTATTTTTATTTATATTTTCCTTATCTTAGATAATCAAATCCAAGGATTTAAAAATTCATCATGACCAAATTTTCATTTAAATATTCTAACATATTTTGTTTTTTGCAATATTATTATTAATGAAACAACAAAAAACTTATTCCTATTTTTCTTTTCCTTTTTTTATATCTTGGTCAAACATTTTATTTCTTGACCCATTTCTTGGCTTCTCGAGAAATTCTATCCTATCATCTAACACTTGTGCTTGACCGTTGATGCGACCCCACCATAACAATCTCTTGTGATCTTGCCACGTGTCTTTTATATATAAACCGAACTTTTGCTGGCCGGCTAGTTTGAGAGACTTCTAACAATCAAATTATTCATCGATCATAATCAGAGTCAAATGCCACTTAATTCCATTTTGACAGTTATGTTGGATTAATCTCTTTACCTCTTGGGTTCCATGGATTGAGCCAATTAACCATGGACCGGATGTCCTGACCTTGATTGGATTGATTGTACTCGTTGGCTGTGCTTTTTGAGATGCCATGTTACATGGTCTTATTTGTCACTCAGAAGTACCTAGCTAGTACCTCCGTTGGTGCTCCTGAACGACATTCACGCGAGATCATCCAACCGAGCTCGTTAATCATACATCTTCAAGCGAGTCCTCCAGCTGAGCCCGCTCATTTTCTTCGAGCTCTTTCTGCGAGCTCGCTCTTACCATAAAATCTCTCCTACCGAGCTCGTTGATATCTATCTAGCTTCATCATTGAGCTTAATGAATAGCCCTTTGCAACATATAAAAGGAGACTCTTGTTCTATCACCATCTATATCTATTTATTTATTGCCTGACATCTATCAACGAGTCTATACAAGCCTCATGCGGTACGACTACATTGTATTCTTTTAATTATTCTTTAGAGCTACGTTTGGGGCCGATCTTTCTCTTTTTTCCTTGCCGCAATTGAGAGATAAACACCTTATGAAATCATCAGCTCCCTTCCACTTCATTCACAAAATCTTTCGTATATTATATTGGACCATGCATCTTAAAAGTATTCAACGCACATATATATATATAGTAAATAATGGCTGGAGGCTATGATACGAGCCTCGAGCCGCCCTCAATTTGTCTAATTACTCAATTTCATGCTGCAAGACAGAATCACTCTGGTGGGCTGGAACCAGTGACCCCAAGAGACACACGACTGACAACGCAACTGCCAACCAAAGAGTCATGACGAGCGGCATTATATATATAATTTTAACATTTTTTTTTTTTTTTTTTTTTTTTTTTGAAGAAATTGTCACATTAAGATTCGAGGAGCTGGAAAATTACATTAATATACTATTTGCTTTTTTATTGTCATAAATTAGTGCGAGTTCAAATGGAAGAATATTGCTTTTTAATTTTGCGTGGAAATTTTCAAATATGAGATGAGCAAAAACTA